TAACCGTTAGGCTAATCTAACACCTGAGAATTTGTATATGAAGCAAAGTTTTCAGATAGCAACTGCTGCTTCCAACCGCCAAAGCAGACCTCTCTCTCTCTAGAATTGAGAGCAAAAGGGAAAAGATATTTTAATTTGATTTTTTTTTTTTGGAAAAAGAAATGGATAAGAAGAACATCTTCGATGAAGTCATCAATATTCCCCCATATATCACAATCTTTTTTGTTATAACAGTAAAATCTTATTTTTTTGTTATTGAGAATTTTCAAACTTTAGTAATAATATAGAATTTTCCATGAAATACTGCGTCCATAACTTAACCTGGTAACAGTAAGGTTAGTTAGTAACTATATTTATTCTGAATGTAAAACAAAAAGATATATTTCTTCTGATATTTATTTATTTTTCTCTAGCAAAAAAAAAAATGATTTTTAATCTACTTCGAATATTTGTGGGAGGACAGTGAGTATATATGTATGTCTTTTTTTCCTTGTAACAACTGTATTTTTAATTGTATTTCTAATTCGAATTATTTATGGCAAAAAAGGATGTATCACTAAAAGCAGGTCGAAAGCATGAAAAGAGTATGTATCGAAAATCCCAAAAGAAAAAAAAATGAAACAAAATTAATTTGGTTGTATCTTATATACACACATTCGTTTTGGAAATTAATTGAATAAATAATGCATAAATTACTAATTTTGACAGCAAAATTGAAAAAAATGGCGGGAGGAAATGGAAGGAGTGGGGATGGTTGGCTAACTAATCTCAACCAGAAGAGTTTCTATCATCGACGTTGTGGACTGGACCCCATCCTCTCTTTTCCCACATTTGTTTTGTCTCAGTTATTTTTAGTTTAAATTTTATTTTTTGTCCGAATCATTTAATAGTGGTCAATAAAATAAAAATATACAAGATAAACCAATTTGGAATGAACATTGTCATCCAAATTCTAGAATGATCAACTGATGTCGGAGGTCCTTGGTCAAGTTATTTTTGTGCATGCGCATCGGTTAGGGATTTGACATTTTTTGGTGGTGTAAAAAATAAAGTATAAAAAATTAGTCTAGTTGTAACACAAAAATATTGGTTCTTTTGTGTCAGGGTTTAAATTTTTTTTAGTATAAAAAATTATTTTTTTAATCGGAATATCCAAATACTGCATCCGGATACCGAAAAAATTATGAGTCAAAAGATTCGGAATTCACACGGTTTATAAAAAAAAAAAAAAAACTATTAATCGATTTCGTATTAAAAATATAAAATAATAAGTGGTTTATATTGAAAGCTTTGATTATAGAGAATGTAATTTTCTTCAAAATGAATTTCTTAAATTTGAACTTTGAGACTGAATATGTAATTCAAAGTAATCTTCTCGAATATTATGTACGTATCCGTTGACAAAGTAATCTTGTCGAAGTATATACTACCCGAAACAAAATTTGGCTCTTCATTCATACAAAAACATATATCTCAATTTCTTATAATTACCATACAATATTGGTCTTGCTTATTAGTCTTCTGGTTGGTATATCATTCTAATATTTTGACTTCTTATAATGCATTCCATTCACATATCAATTACTAAAAGTTGAAATTTCCGAGATTGGAAATAGTGAATAAGCTAAATTGTTAAGTATGGTATATCCCTTAAAATAGTAAGTATGAATAAGTGACAACGACAACACAAAAATCCAATGTGTACCCTATTCTAAAACTATATCAATTCTTGACTATTAAAATCAAAAAGAGATTATACATTTTTTTTTGTTAAAGTAAAGAGATTATACATTTCTACACTCGTCTTAATGAATGAACCCATTACACTTTGTAAATATAATAACAAAATACTTAGTAACTTTGACACTTGTATAATCTATGATCTACACGTATAGAGTAAGGATAATTTTATTAAATTTCATTTCATGACGTTAAATCAAACTTCAAAGATTTAAACATAAAACGTTATTTTCATCTTTTAGCGTCGACTATCTAT